TGAGCCACCAGTGGCAGCGGCTAATTTATTCTTTTTAAATATTAAATTAGTAGTGTATTTTGTTCTACTGTTTCATAGCCCTATAATCTATTTTAATTAATTTTTATGCAGCATAAGGTAGAAAAAAGGCTCAGCTTCTTTTGTTTCTTTTTGTTTAACATATGGAAATACAATTATTGTAGCAAAACCTCCTAAAAAACCTAGCATTACTCTTTCATTGACTGTCCATTTATGAATCTCAATCACTAAACTGGGGTATATTTTTTTTGTTCATCCTTATACCAGTATCATACTTCTTTCACTACTATTGTTTTATAGTTAGTCTTGATATCAGATAGCACAATTTTTCAGTTTTGTTCTTCTTTTACAATGTGGCTATTGTCTCTTTTAAATATTCTGTACAAAATGTAAATTTTAGGAGAAAAGTTCTCTGTAGATCATTTGGAACATCTTATTACACGATCTTATTATATGATCAAGAAACACAGTATGTATTGCTAATTACTGATTTCCCCATGGTATGTTATATCATTTTCAATGTAGAGGTCTTATACAATTTCACACAGTAATTTTCTTTTATAATTTATTCACAATAACTATATCACCTTAGTAGGATAATATTTTATACAAAAATTTTTATAAATTTTATAAATTATATAAAAATTGATGTTATCAATTTTTATCTTTATTCACTTAAATTTTTTCCTAGTATATGAAAATGAAACATTTTAATTCCACATTGATCATGTATCAATAATCAAGTTTAATTTCTTAATTCTTGTACTTCTTCAGTAGATTTTTAGACTTCTACATTCAAATTTATGCTGTTTTCAAATAAGGCAGGAAATTTCTTCCTTTTTTAATCTTTGACTTTTATTTCCCATTCTTGATTATTTCATTTGCAGAGACCTTTTTCACTATGCTAAATCAAAGTTGTAAGATTAGCTATTCTTACCTGGAAGGATGTTCAATATCTTATCATTGGGTATGATGTCAACTAAAGGTTTACTTCCCATTCTTTATCCAATGAGGAATGTTGTGCAGTGCCCAGTGGTGGACAGACTGTTTACTTGTTACTACCACCTACCCTAGTAGCCTTTTATTAAGGTTTGAATACCTTTTCTTTGGCTTTAGTGCCTTCACACAAGCTTATGAATATGTTAGAATCAATCTGATCAAATGTCTAGACCAGGAAAGCTATCCCATTATCAATAAAAGGTTTGGTTGCACAAACTCACAGTCCAACAAATTGAATACCAGGAAACTGGTACTTGCATGTGGGGAGGGGTTAAGGGGGGAGTAAATGAATAAAGAGAGGAAGGGGAGCAAATGTAGTCATAATATTCAATGAACATACTGTGAAACTAGAAAAATTGAGGAGAGGAACTGGGTTGGGAGGGATGTGGAGAATGATGAAAGACGTATTGCATTCATCAATTGATTTGTTGAATGATAACACCTTTGTACAACTACTTAAAGATAATAAAAATGTAATTTTTACAGAGAAAAAAGTTTTGGTTGCATATTTAAGTTCAATTATTATTGTCTTAATAGCTGCTTTATTAGGCTTTTTCCCTCCAATTTGTTAGATCTTTTTTTTTTTAAAGTCTCTGTTCCTTATTCATTTGAAAGCGCATTAAATACACTTACTGTTCATTCTGCATCTGATTTCTCCATAATATCTGCTCTGCTCTTTCCTTTTTTGTTTCTGGCAAGTAATGCTAACAGTAGTTCTTACTTTCTGTCATATGTTTATTTTGTTATATTCATTTATTTATTTATTTTTTGGTCGGTCATGGGGCTTGAACTCTGGGCCTGGGCACTGTCCCACAGCTCTTCAGCTCAAGGTGAGTGCTCTACCACTTGAGCCACAGCGCCACTTCTGGTTTTCTGTGGTTTCTTGGAGACAAGAGTTTCATGGACTTTCCTGCCCGTCTCAGCCTCCTGAGTAGCTAGGATTACAGGCGTGAGCCACTGGTGTCCTATTTTTATTTTTTAATGTGACATCATACTTCCTGGAACTTTATCTCCTGGAAGTCTTGAGTATATGCTTCCAGAGAGACTATACAGTGAGTCTTAATAGCTTAGGAATGCTATAACATGGATTCCTTTAAATTCTTGCTTCTATTTTCCATCCTTAAAAATTGAGCAACCAACCTCAATTAAGACTAGTCTGTGGCCAAGAATTCTTTCTTTTTTTTTTTTTTTTTTGTCGGTGTGGGGCTTGAACTCTGGGCCTGGGCGCTGTCCCTCAGCTCTTCAGCTCAAGGCGAGCGCTCTACCACTTGAGCTACAGCG